AAGATTATTTTTTTTGTACATATCTATTTAATCTATAACTTTGATATTTAATTTAGTGTTACGGACCATTTTGTCAATCAATCGTAAGTTACAATATTTTCTCATTACTGAAATAATTTTAATGATGCCAATAAATGCAATGACTCTTAAATAAAAGCTTAAATTAACAGCATTTTTTTCTTACAGTGCAATGGCGTTCTTAATATATGCATGTCGAAGGTATTCCGCACACTTCTATCAGTTTAATGATAAACCACCATTCTCTTCTTATTCAATGTGATAATTTTTTAATTTTAATTTTAATTTTTAGCATTATGTAAAAAAAACAAATACGTCAATATGAAAATTACACGAATGTTATAACAGTATTACTATCATATTTACAAAATTTTTGGCTTATAGAAAATAAAATAACAGTGTGAAATTACAATACCAATTAATTTTAGTGATATTGTTTTTCCAGTGTTTTGGACGGGTTTGCCATTCACAGGTACGAAGAAGTGATTTTTACGTAATCTAAACAAATGTTTTGAAGTACCTTTCATCTAATAATGATGAAAAGTTGAATAATGTATTGCAATTTATAAGAGTTTACACAATTTCAGTAATTACTAGGTATTTTTAAAAACAAAATCGGAGAATGTTTATTCGTTTTAATGACAATTTGAAATCTTTGCCATAAAAAACTAACTTTTGAATTGATGTATCTTGCCTACTTTAATAAAATATATTATTTAAAGTACTTGGTATCGATTAAATATTATTTTATAAATTTTTATATTGTACATAGAAAAACAGAATAATTACATTTTTAAAATCAACATTCAGCCACTCATCGCCACAACTTTTAGTTCCCATCAAGTGGCTAGTGGAGTTTTATCTACAAAATGACTTGTTGATTGAAAGAAAAAGTAAATAATTCTATATATTGTTTCTTCGTCTGAACCATATTTTTCTTTTCACTTTTTCTTATTGGATTATGGTGTATTTATTAATTAAACTATCTACAAAATTTATTTAAAAGAATATTATCATTTGTCATAGTAATATAAAATAAAGGATCAATTTAAAATCAAGATCCACCAATTGACTCTTCAATTGAAGCAATAAAATGTGATTGACGGTTATTGTGTATAAACGATGTATGATACTTGTAAATTGAATCTTGTTCCATATAAAATAAAATTTATATTTCATTGAAAATTACTTTATAATTTTAATACGTCAAACGGAAAAAAACAATGTGAAACAAGAGTTCCAATGCATTTGAGGTTAAAGGGAACATCTATATCCCTCAGGTTTAAGCAGATTTCAAAAAAAAATACCAAAACTTTTCCCAACGTACTTTTGTAATAAAAAAATTTACTTAGGTATATAATTTTGAGTTGTTAATTATATGAAAATATTTTTATTTTTATTTAAAAGAACTCTAATTCTGATTATGAAAGTAAACACAAAAGTTTACTTTCATAATCAGAATTAGAGTTCTAGAGAAAATTATTCTTTTTCATAAAAATAAAATACAAAACTATATTTAAAACTTCAAAACTAAATTTGACATTTACTAGATACTGTTTTTAAATCATGATTTAATTTATATACTACAGGCACAGGAATACGTAAAAGAAATTAATTTACATTTTTTATTGCTTTCAGTGTAAAGCTTCATCATGTTTGACTTTGGTATGGTTAAATATTACCTATTATTAGCGTAGTTTTTAATTCCGACCCCTACTCAATTTAACTCTATAATAAACTAGACTGATATAAAATAATTCGAGTCTAAATTCAATGACGTTCTTGAAAGAGAAAACTCGTCTTGGATACATAACTTAACACAACCATAAACCTATGATAAAACTGGTGCGAATAATACTAAAATCTGCGACCAATCTTCTAAAACATCCTCAGACAACTCCAATATTCATTGAAAGTCGTAACCTTATATTGATATTAATTATATTACATTATTATAATAAAAAAATATTTTTTTTTTATTCCACAGGGCAGTGGAATTTCAGCCCAGGCCACGGTAGGTATCATTTATCAAAATACTTTTGAAATAGCGTAGTTGATAATATTTTATCACTTTTATTTTCTCATTAGTGTGACGGGGCAAAATGTCGATCTAACGTAAGTAATTATAAATGTTTCAAATCAGAAAACGTTAAGTTTTAAATATCGGTTTAATGTAATTCGCCATACGAAAGGCTTGATTTCTTTTTTATGACTTGTCCGTTCATACTTTTTCTCAATTTCCACAATCTGTTTCATAATCGATTTCGAAGTATCTTTTTGTTCGAGATAATTTCCTTCCTTAAGTTGATTAGTATTCTGTGTAGACCATCTTCACAGGTTTATTGTTTTTCTACTTTAGATTCCCTTCTACATAGACTTTCTACTTCTTATGATCACCTAATACTTATGGGTGACTTAAACACCTGCCTTATCAAAAATGACTTCAGAGTCTAAAAACTAAAATCCTTGATTTCATCTTTTAATCTTTCAATACTTCCTAAATGCTAGGTCTTTTGTCAAATGCTAGGTTTTCTCATCTCGATCTTGTAATTGTATCTCAGCCAAAAAATTCCAACTGTTATGACCACATGTTATCATCGTTTTCTTACGAGAATCTATCATTATCCTAACTTGTACTGTATCTACCGTTAGACGGAAATGCCAAAAAATTATTCGCCGTAGTCTAAAAAACGTTAATACTGATGCTCTTACGTCTGACACATTAGGTATAGATTGGACGTCTCTTATCAATTCTACCAATATCGAAGAAAAAATGTAATTTTTTCAACTCTGAAATCTATAAACTTTACAACGTCAATGCTCCGATAAGACTTATCCAAGATAGGCACTATCCCGCATCCTGGCTTACTTCAACAATCAAACCTTTAATGGTACAACGGGATAAAGCTAAACGAAAATTCAGAAAAGATCAGTCGCGTGATAATCATGTTGTCTACAAATGCTGCGTAATCTCTTTAATGGTAAGAGTAGGGATGCAAAGCTTAGCTATATTTTATTCTCTATTTGCAATACTTCAATGTTTGCTGCTAAGATGCCACTGATGAAGCTGCTCGATAATTTAAATCGGCTTCAGAATTTATGCATCGGTTTTAATTTCGCCTGGCGTATGTTCAACCAGATTTTTAATTTCCTTTGAGTCACCTTTTCTTTCCATACGCTTCTGCACAAATATACATACTTATATCTCGCTCGTACCTACTTGACCGTTTCAAATTTTCTTCTCCAAGAACGCTTTCTAATTAGTCTTATGTTACACAAAACCCTTTTCGTATCTCTTCCTTTAAAACTATTTTTTTTTTTTGTAAATCATTATCTGTCCAATTTGCGCAACTTTGGAACCCAATTCCATATTACGTTTACAAATTTCTTTTATAATACTACAATTATTTTTACTTTTTGGTACATACATAAATTGATAACTAAATAATCGTCAATAATAGGCTATAATGAAAGTTTATTTAACATTAACATTTATAATATAGCAACGAAAAGCAATTGGTTTGACAAATTAACAATATAATATTTGGATTTAACGGTAACTTGTAAAAGACAACATTATATGGAAAAATCAAAATAATTCTGCAATGTATTAGCATTTTAGTGAAATTTCATTTTTCTATAAAAAAACAAAATATCAAATTAATCAATAATGATCATCTTGTTTCTGTTTTCAGTGCACCGGTGACTTTTGCGTTTCACGTGTGAGTAGATTATTTTGTAACCCGATTATAGATACTCCTCTTATAGTTCTTCATCTATTTATATTTTACTTTAAACAATAAATGAATGGTATTCCGTTATTTTTAGTGTTTTGGAACAGGCTGTATTTCGGAGGTAAAATAAAATTCTTTACTGTACACCCACCTTTATAAATATTAGTTTGAGTTACTCATTACTGCATTATCAAAACTTATTATTTAATAGCAACTCATCACTTTTTAATAATAATCGATTTATTAGTTACGTTTATTTATATTTTATTTATGCTTATAATCATCCTAAAATTTTCATATCCATTATTTTTCTTTGTTATAAAAGTAATATTTTAAAATTTTTAGTGTCACGCTAAAAAATGTGAATCGCATGTGAGTTCTTTATAACTTTCCAAACTAATTTAAAAGAAATTAAGTCACAGCTTTAATTTAAAACAAAAAAAATGATTTCTCATTATACGTATCTTAATTATGTATATTAAAAATAATGTTACATTTAAATCATGTTTATGTATTCAGTGTGTTGGCTCGGCTTGTGTTTCTATGGTAAGTATATGAAAGTAGTCAAAAAGCATCCTTTGAGTAAGAAATTAAAGTCTATTTTTCAACACATCACATTTTGTACGAAGCTTAAACCAAGTCATACTGTAAGAAACTAAAAATCATAAATAAAATTTCCATTTCAGTGCTCAGGATTTAATTGTCACAAGAGCGTGAATTAATAAATAATATAGGATTGTATGTATGTATAGAAAAATGTAATACTAAATGTATCCAAAAATCAGTATATTAAATAAAATCATTAAAAACACATCTATTGATTTCTTTCATATTCAATATTATCAAGAAATAAAACATTTTTACATAATTATTTTTAGTTAAAACTATACAATTTAATTCTCTGTTATCATCAAAATATATTTATTTAATTTAAACTTACCATGATTATATTTACACATACGGACATAATTAAAATATATCTTAAATTGCTTTGTATCGATTTTCTTAATTTTAAAACACTTAAAGTTACAATATTGCGAGCTGCTAATAAAAAAATGTCTAATACCTGAAAAGACATTAATATAATCTATACTATTCATATACGAAGACTTCAAAAGGTGACGTTTGTGGGACATATGATAAAAAAATATTAGTAATATCTGTAAAGACTACCAATCAGTGAGCATACGGTAATTATATAATGAGAATCTTCCATACATATTGTTATAAGTCGTGTGTATGTTTGTTTTATGTCTGTGTGATTGTTTGAACGGTGTAGACTATAGGAGGCAGCGCTTGGGTCGAGGGCGGGAAATGACCATGGGCACGACGATGATTATGAAGAGCTGTACCCTGGATATAAAGAAAACAGAACGTACATTACATCCCTACTTATATTATAAATGCGAAAGTAGCTCTGTCTGTTTGTCTATCTGTTCCGCTTTCACGCCTAAACTGAACTGAACTGATTTTATTGAAATTTGGTACAGACAGAGTTGACCTTGAGAAAGAACATAGGATTTTTATCTAAGACTTTTGAAAGGTTCTCTTGGAAACGCGATATAACCGAACTCCACGCGGGGGAAGCTGCGGGCGGAGAGCTAGTTGAACATATATAATAAGATCAATATTAAAGTTAATTTTGTATGTCTCATCCAGTCACCTGTATGAATCGATCCCCACATAATTCACAGACGTAAGGTTTATCGCCCGTGTGTCGCCGCACGTGTAGCGTTAGATCGTTGCTCTGTGAGAACGCCTTCTCGCAATACGAACACTTGTACGGCTTGACTCCCGTGTGTACACGCATGTGACGAGACAACTTATTGCTCCGGGAGAAGGCTGGGGAAATGCATTGTCTTACTAATAGTATAAATATAACAGATTGTAGGAAAGTTTGTTGATTAAAAAAAATGCTGAACGGATTTTGATGTTAGTTTCTAATGGAGTAACTTAGACAGATGTCCATTCAGATTCAGATGAATCACATATGTATATTATGTATATCTTTATTAAAAGCGCTATATAACAGGAAGTCATATGACACAAACGATAGATGTCACTGACGATTGTTTAACATATTAAAAACAAATTATTGTGTGTCAAATTTACAATATAATACCAGTTTAGTTAGATTTTTGTCGATTTAAACTTTGATAATTATACGAAAATAAAATAACAAGAAAATGTTTTTGGCAATACGGTAGGTTTACAGATAACTGTATTAGTACAGTTCCTATTGACTGAATAGACTAATAAGCTCCTATTAACTAACTATAATAATACCTTTTCCACACACTCCACATATGCAAGGTTTCTCGCCGGTATGAGATCGTCGATGACATTGGAGATCAGACGAACGTGGGAACCCTTGAACAGATAGAATCAACAGATGAACCTCTCAATACACATAATACTACTAATATTATAATTGCGAAAGTTTGTGAGTGTGTGTGTAAGTTTGTTACTTCTTCACGCTCAAACGGCTGAAGCGATTTTGATAAAATTTTGTATACAGGAAGCTGACGTCCAGGAATAACACATAGACTACTTTATTTCCCGGAAATCTCGGAAATCCGTGGGTAACACCGCGGGGCGCAGCTAGTTCAATGTTAATCTCTTTGGATTTCTTGAGTACCTTTCCCGCAGAAGTCACACTTGTATGGCTTCTCGCCAGTATGTCGACGCATGTGAACTATGAGATTAGAGGAATTTGAGAAACTTCTGCCGCAGTAGAGACACAGACAGGCGCTTGAACCGGCTGAGGAACTGGTGCCATCGTGAATACGGACGTGGGCTCTGGAAACAGGTTGACAGATTGATGGATTTGTTGTTCGACTAATCGGTCGATTAGTTTGGTTGAATAAGTCTCGGCTACAACGCAAGTCTCTCATGAAAGATTTCAATAGTTATGTAGAAGTACAGTTAAAATTTATATTATCAATTATATGCTGTCAATGTACAGAATCAATCACAGCTTCGTGCGGCTCTTGAAATTTCTATCGATCAAGGGAAGACAAAACACTGTACTGGGAAATGCTCTTCTGTAATGTATAAGAAATATCAGTCGATCGCATATAATGGCCGGCTATGCCTTCTGATAAAACTAATACCATTTCTATTACGTCATTGAATCTTGGACCATGAACGCTCATTAATAAAATTCCATCATCACGGTTGATACAAAGTAACCGAAACATCTGGATTATGTCTTTTAAAATAATAAAACCGCGTAGCACACAATTAAGAAGAGTCCAAAAAAATCAACTTGTATTAAAAGTAAAACATGTCCAACAAATATCAAATCAAGACGTAAGAAATTTTGTAGAAATTTGTATTGTAACAATGGCGACATAGTAATGTACATAAATAATTCATTTGATTAATTTTACATAACATATCTACACGTGTACATATAAAACTTTGGACTTTTTATACTCTGAATATGAACAAACAGTTCGTTATTAATTCTATACGGCTGCCATCAAACTAGATAAAAATACTGAAAAGAAACATACCTTAGATTATCTCTTCTATGAAATTTCTTTTTGCAGACATCACATTCAAAAAATTTATCCGAATTTTTATGTATTTTTGAATGCCTTGTTAGCAGATCTTTCCTGTAAATAAAAAAAAAAATTCCATTGAAGTAAAATATTTCAAATAGCTTAAGCTATTTACAATTTTGGCAGATATAAACGTATATCATTGTTATAAACTATTATAATTAATCGTGATTAACATGTTATTAGAACTATGAAGAAACTAAAGTAAAATTGAACACAAAAGCTTACATTATAAGACCAATATGAGGTTGCAAGTTGTAAATAGCATTACTGATGATCTCAAACAGATATATACATAATATGTTTTTCGGAACTACTGTATCATGATGATAATTAATATAAAAGGACGACAATAACCTAACAATGTGATATATTTATTGTTTTTATCAAATATTGAACTAAATCACCTCTGAAACCGTCTATTGCATGTATCACACTTGTATTGTGGTGGGGCGCCCCTGTCCATGAATCTGACTGAAACGCTTTGACCGGCGTGAGCTCTCAGTATGTGTTTGTTGAGAGTAACCTCGTGAGCGAACCTCATGCCGCATGAAGAACACGAGAAGAGACGCTCCACCAACGAACACGTGGACCGGTGACGGCTAGCTGACTTCAAGGTTGCGAACACCTGCATACAATACATATAACATAAACAACACCCTCCATTGTATCATCGTTTAGAACTCCTGCATCGTTGCAACTCTTATGCAATTTAAAATAAGATTGTGTTAAACGTTTAACGCAGAAATAGAGACAAAACGAAAGGAAATGCGTAGGACCGAACGCAAGTTGGCAATCAATTTTGACTTGTAAATAATGCTAATAAAATTTGTCCTAAAGAAAACTGAAAATTCCTTAAAAATCATTTACTACACCTTCCTGTTTTCATTCTTACATTCTAAGTTTCGCTTCCTCACGGAAAGACTTCACGCATATTTTTTCTTGAGATTAATAATAATAATATAAAAATTGTCTATTACCAACTTTCAAAATGATATAGCTCTAGTGGTAAGCACAAAATCACTTTAAAATACATACAACTCCAAATATTTATTTTTCATGATAATTCTTATTATAATCAGTGTAAACTTTAATGGTGTGATAGACTATATGAACTAGACTATAGATAGACTATTGATAGAGTATATGAAGTATAGATAGAGTGTATGAAGTACCTTCTCACACATGTGACATCGCAGAGACAGTTCAGGGTGTTCCTGGTCTCTATGTGTACCAATTTCCATAGCTGTGAAGACACCACCACACGCTTCACATACTTCAACATTGCTAGGATTATCCTGGATGGAAAATATAAATATCATATGTAAATTATGTATACACATAACTAAGACATACCACACAATCTTATATTCAGTTAAAAATTGTTTTTATTAACATATTTAACTTCAATTTGTTTTAAATGGACTTTAATTCTATTGTGTATATATAATGATTGTGAAACTGTAAATACTAAATGATACATTTGATAACTCACCACATCACAATTTGTTAATAAGATCTCTTGGAGCATAATTTCAGTACATAATTTAAATTTCTCGACTGAAGTTTCTAAATGCTCTCCCTATAAAATTAAAATAAACATTGAATTAAGATAATTTAGTTTTTAAATTTTTATTATATAATTGCAATAACAAAATATGTAATCTTTTTCATGAACCTTACTTTTTAAAACTTCTTTTATTATGTACCACATAAAATAAATAAAAGAAAATTCTCAATATATGTTTATATTTATCCCAATATCTATAATTAGCAAATAAAAGTATAACAACTATAAAAATAGGGAAGTCTCTTAATTTGTGTACAAAAATTAAATCTTCATACTCACCTGTTTAAAATTATTAATTTCGCTATCCTGACCACAGTTGTGTACATCAAAATCTTTTTTTGTGAGGTAAATTTTTTTGCAAACCAGACATTTTAATAACTTAACATCTGTAATTAACGTATTTTATAAAGGACATGAAAAATCATCATAGTAATTTTTAATAATGATCACTCACCCCTGTGTTCGACCATATGCAACAACAAATCATCTTTAGCCTTAAAATCATCTTTACAAAAAGCACATTTGTGTTTTTGGTGTGGCAAACTTTTTAAATTATAACCATTTTCTGATAATTTGCTTAAAATTGTCTAAAAAAAAGTTTAAAGTTAACTTCATAAGAAAATTATCACCATAAATATATGTATATAAAATTAAGTATCAAATATCTCTTTTATAAATAAAATATTTAATTGAATCTAGTTTCATCAATAACTCTTTGCATACACAAAATATTCCATATTTTATTTTAAAATAAACTAATGCAATATTGTTTATATATCAACAACGGTGCATTATATTTTTTATTTGGTGTAATAAGGTTATAAAACCTACACTAGTCAGTAGTTTCTTAGGACGACCACGTTTTTTGGGTCCCATAAGATCAGCGTGTCTATCCCAGGCGTGTTTTGTGAGGGCCACAGCATCTGAGAAACTCGTGCCACATATAGGACAATATGTGCTATCTTTACTATTGTCATCTGAAATTTACTCAAACATATGTAATAAGAAATAGTTAGTTTTATTACAATATAACAGAAATGTTGAAGAATTAGGCGAGAATTATTATTGACAATGAAATTTATAAATAAATAAAATCACAATATTGTGGTACCTTCATTTATATTGTTCAGATCATTGTCAGGATTTATATTGCTACTTTCTTGTGTGTCCTTAGATCGGAGGTCGCTTTCATTTTTTACATCATCTAGAAATAGTTGCAAGTTACATTTGATTAAAATGCTTTTTATAAGACATTCAAGCAAGGGAAGTTTAAAGAGATGTGAATTTATATGTATCTATGGACACATGTTACTTTTTACACAAATTGAAAACAATAACTCTTATGACACCATATACATTATGTGGCTAACATATTACATTATATTGAAAATCTTTGTTATATCTTCACAAACAGACTACGCCAACATTTGTTATTTGTGACTAAATGGAACCTGTTAAAAGTATTAATAATTTGTTGTGTATGAAAATTTTTTTAATACATTATTGGGAAATTATAAGAAATGTATAGTTATATAAGAGATAAATAACGAAGTTGTGCCCATATGATGGAGTTTATTATTTAAGTTATACTCCAAATGTCAATTGTTCTCTATTAACAACTAAATGATTTGCCACCTTATGTTTCTGACTCTTGTGCTCATATTATTTCAAAAGGTTAGTTATACATTGAATATTTTAATAATATGTATGTTATACAGCAATCACTTATTTTGAGAATAGGTTTGTTGATAAAACTTCTTAATATTAAGTAGATCCTAAGGCTTCACTTTGAAATTAATAAACTGATGACCTTACCCACATTATTGTACTGTTCATGATCAGTATTGAGAGCGGCAGAAAGATCCAAATCTATATAATTGTCATGACTGCTCTCATTATATTGCTCTGTTTTTACTTCAACTACTTTGGTCTGTAATCAATAATTTTGCTCAATATTTAGTAAAACACAACATGTTTTAAGAAGACGTGAGGAAATTAAAATTTATTGTGGACATATAGCTTTTATTGTTTAATAGAGAAAGTGTCAAAGAAGTTAGTTACGGATTTTAAATCACCTGTAGGTTAGAATGTTGATTTTTATTTCGATCAAATTTTTCTTTGTTTAACAAACCACATAACATCACATTAGCTTCCTCTGAGCGTGTTCTAAAGTTGTAAGCACTAACTGCCTTGTCTTTGCAATCCTTGCATATTGTTGAAGGTAAACCATCATCCACTTCAATCTACATTTAAAATAATATTGATATATTACACTCTTTTAAAGCAGCATACTCAGAATTACTTAATACTGATTCAACTTAACACTAATAAAAATTATGTCTTAATAATAATGTAAGGACTTCGCACAGCAGACTTAATTGTAAGAAAATAGATTTCGCAGTAGAGAATATTGTATAACCGTTGCATCGCGCTTAAATAGAGTGTTTATATAAAACATAAGAATAATTATACCTTAATACCGGTAACCGAGGCAATAATACTATCGAAGGAGATATTTCCGAGACATACTTCAAAAACTGAAATTAAATCAATTTCTTTGGCCAAACAGGTACGACATAAATATTCAATTTTTATTTCAACGTTTCCGTGAGCCATCATAGCTAGTTATTGTTTTGTAAAAAAACAACATTCAAAATATTTGGCCAAACAACAATAGCGAATAATCACTCGCATCGTTCAAGTTACAAATATCATAATATGAATAACAAAACTGACATAGACGTTTAAACGCATACAGATAACAACAAAATATAATATAAAGCTAGAAGTACAATTGCATACAGTAACAAAATCCGGGACAGCTTTTGAAATAAATTTAAAATAAAATAATAAGCGAAATAGTTGATTATGTAATTAACAATATTTTTTATTTGTATGAAACACGTTAGTTCCTGTGATGTGGCAGTGTGTCTCTAGCATAATACTAAAAAAAAATTCAACGTCAAAAATTATATCAGCAGATTGGATACCTATTAGGGACCTAAATATAAATAGCGCTTATGTAGCTGGAAATTAGTACCCTGTCTATATCTAGTTAATTTTTTTATTATAATTATATTATATGGACTTAGCAATAATGCCACACAAATTATATTATCTTAAATTTCTCATTACCTAGAATTAAAAAGTTCCGCAAAACCTTAAAGAATTGTTTTGAACAAACATAACAGAAATGGTAAACATTTAAATTGAAGCTTTGCGGAATAACTTTTACACTTTATATATTATTTTAAAAGTATGAGAAGCTAGTACTAAAATAATAAATTACATACATATTATAATTTAGCAATACTTAATTTGGCATTCGTTACTATTTACAATCAACTCATAAAGGTATAAATATGATTGTAGGTTCATTATTTTGAGTCTAAACCCGAAATTTAGAACCTGTCTCATTTAAAATGTTTTTATTGATATCTTTATAATTATAATAATTAGAAACCATGTACTATAATGATTGTAATAATCCACGTGTCATGACAAATTCTTATCATGATAGGTATGAGTCTATAAATAAATAATAAAATTGGTGGCTAAATTGCTGAACTGTAAATAAATCTATCAAATATGAATATTTAAATTAAAGCTTTGTGCTGTAAAAAATAAAATAGTACTCCTTTAATGAATATTTTATGTAAAAATAGTTTCAACTTTCATATAACTTTGTCGATTGACAGCTAGCGGCGGCATTAATTTTATTACATTCTTTATGACGCGTGGACTATTTTGCATGTTCCGAACTAAATTGAATGATATTTTTGTATGTGAATATAGATTTTTTGTTCTACTATAGCTTTTAGGCGCAAATAGTGTTAGTATAAAATTAACTATCATAAGAAACATTTTTATAATATTTATTTGGCTTTATTCTAACAATCTAATATAGAATAAATGAGTGTATAGATGATGTGAATATAAATTTGAAGCCTAGGACGTATTTAAGTACAAGTAAGAAAAACAAAATACTATCAATTGGGGTGAATAGGTACAATATAAGGATACATAATTATTATAACGGAGATACCGCTAAAAAGCTATAAACCACAGCCTATAGAAAGACGATTATCTATGGAACTATAATTACAGTTTGAGTTCGAACTATTTATTTGATATAAAGTTAGAAATATTTTGAAAACAACTTTCCGAAGCTGAGTATTTGATTAGCCTCTATTGAAGTGACAGCAACTTTGTTTTTTTTATTTTGTAGCTACTTTTATATCAAAACAATTATTTATGAGTAGCTGTGTTGTTTAGTCTGGAATCTGAATAGAATAAAGTAACTACAGTTACAAGACAGCTTAATAATATTTAAATTATTTTTATCATAAGTATAATAATTTACATCCTAGGAAGTGTTTCAGCACACGTACCTGTTTTTTTAAGGTACAGCAGAGATGTTAATAGGAGATTATAAATTATTTATTTCCAATGTAATTTATAACATTTTCAATTATGGCCTTGGACACAAAATGAAATATTTTACGTAGAAATAATAGATTCGATTTAAATAAAATTTTAGATTTAAACCAAATTATCGGTACTTACTTAGGAGTAAATACGTATTGGCTTGCCTTTCTAATACTACACTACTATATAATCATCTGATTACGAAAACAGTGCTAGTCCTAACAATTTTATATTTAAATTGAAAATACTGTCCTATTTGTGTTGAAATATTTACATAAAAGTGTCAGTCAATAATTTAATGTTCTTGTCTTTCGTTATTGTGATTTATTTTATAATAATGCTGCAAAGGCAAAATAATGTACCGTCTTAATTAAGGATGAATGTAGACAAAAGTAAATTCTGTACCAATTCACCCCGTTTGACGGTACTTCAACTGTCAATGTCATGTTGCTCTTGCTATACTAGCGCGCGCGCTGTTTTTATTAAGTCTGTCAAAACTCACATAGGTATCATGAGTGCAGCATTGTAGGTGTGTCAGTGAGAGTGGCAGTCATTAAAGCAGGTAAGTGGAAACGATTCGAATTAAAATGTTATGTATTTTTAAACAGATCTAATTGTTGATATCTAAAACTGTTTAACAATATAATATGTTGAGTTATGTGCCAGCAAGTGCGTTATAATGCGTATTTTTCCTAAGTATGACGTGAGATAAGATTACTCTCAAGTGCGAAAAGGAATTAAATATAAAATTAGGTCAACTTCTTTTATTAACAAACGACTTATACTGTTAATTATTATTAAGATCCGAACAGTTTGCATTTTTAATTTCCATAATTATAATATCGTTTTAATAAAAATATAAACATTATCATGCGCAGCGACTTTTGAATTCTTGGTTCTATATTTTATGAAAGCGAGCTAATAATAAAGTTGGTATACTTTTCTGCGTGTCCAGCGAAACTGCGACATCATTAAAATATTGCCTATTATTTATAAATGGAAGTCATGTTACTAGTAATAGATTTATCTTTTGTGAACATCATCGCTCAAAATGTCTTTAATAAAACTTGAAAGGTTTTACGATCGATTTACGATTAAAATTATTGAATTCGGATAAGTAAAAATACGTGTTTCATTCCAAATATGTTAGTTAAAAACTATAGGTACAAATATTAAACAACAGAAAGTTCGAATTCGGAAAAAATCTGGTTCCGTCCAAGCCTCTCGCGACCAAAATTATTGGAAACTTTCGCCCACATCGAGAGTCGTGGACATGAATCGGCGTCCGCCTTTAGTTGCTAAATCGCCTGCGACTTAAAGTACATCAAAGCGAACTAAATTATGGGTTTTTTGAAAATATTACTCTCGATAAAAGTGTATGCAACATGAAGTGGAAGTATTATAAATTATATTAAAACATTTTCTAAACAGGACCTGGATGGAACTCTGTCGGGAATCTAAGTGGAAATATAAAAATACGTTTTTCCTTATGAAATCGATTGTTTTCTTTATATAGATTTTATAAATAATTTAACTGTGGCATTGACTATAGTGTTTCAAATTATATGTGTTCGCTCAATTCAGCTTCGTGTATGACCTTATTTTATTCGACCTGGATAATATTAATCGCTTTTAATTAAACTGGTAATATTCAAAAAGTTTCGTTAAGAAGTAAATAAAAAGTACTAAATATCTTTTTACTATATTTTATTCGATATAAAAACTTGGTTCCTACTGGTAAATATTAACCACCATTTGAAACTCGTAACTTTATATGAGACTCAAACGAACGAACTAGTACTGAAGTATAATAAAAACTACCTAAAATAAGCTGTTGCTATTCATAATAATTTTAAATATTATATATTATAAAAAAATAATTAAAAAATATATGTTTTTCGGAACGTTACTTTACATTTTAGTTATGTAATACCTACTAATAGTGTTACTTGAATATTATGTCCAGACTGTAAAGCTGTGTGTGAATATATGCACATGACAAGAGTACATTACACTTACTAAATATATATAAATGAATAAGTTAATACCATTGTTGTAAAAACATTGTCACTTTTTAAGGTTTATTACTATCGATTATATTGTTATTTTATCATTAAGTGTTAAAATAATTTACTTATATTAAATCACACAAAAGATATTCGTTTGAAAAAGTTTGCATTCCGTCCGAAATTGTCTGCTCTCAAATTTCCCGTCACGGTTTTCGTATAGACCAATAAACCTGTTTCGTATAATGGTCAGCTATATGAATATGCACCAAAATTTATTCGAACTAAAATATTAATCCGGTCTCGAATTTCGATTCCATATGACATTTGTTATAAAATAATATAAATAAGAAGAAATCTTTTTATATAATGAAATAAAATAAAAACTGTGAAATAAAACAGCCGAGTATCGAGAGTATTACGTAGTTGAGCGCGGCGGGTTTTTAAGGCTGGCAAAAAAAAAGGAATGCATTTATAAAATAAAGAAATATAATATATAAAACGTATTTATATTATCAATTGTTATATATAAATACATATTGTATATAGAGTTGAAGTCTTAGTGTGACCTAGAATGGCTATTAGCTCGTACCAGCTTATACAGTCTTACACTAAACATGGTCGAGAACGCTATTACAATTGTAAGGGTTTGCTCTAGTTGTGTTGTTTAGTGTTTAGTACGATTCACGTACACTTCAAACAAAACAGCTTACAAACAGCTTAGAAACAATTTCATACAATAAAATATTAAACAACCTAAATTATAATATTTTATGAATTATATTTGTGAAACTAAAATTGTGAGCTAAGCCGCGATTTAATCTCGAATATGGATGTATGTTTAATGTAATTACTAGTTGACATTTAAAAGCCGGTCACCAGTTTTTATCTAACCGCATTAATATTGATAAACTCATCATATATGAAAAATATTGGGAAATTAATAGAAAGAGTGTTTATAAATAGAAACATTGAAAATAATGTCCTAGTATTTTAATACAATATACATAATATGTACTTTGAAGAGTAAAAACTATTATTTTACAATTTATTTTCGAAGCTAAATGCCTATATCCTATTAATATATTGTTTGTTCAGAATATCTATTTTCAAATTATACTAAAATAGTTTGGTGTTTTTTTCAATGTGTTGTTACAATACAGTTCGAAGTAAAATACTCTCTCG